TGATAGAGAGTAAATCTGCAATACTGATAATGAAGTAAGGAGAGAAAAAAACGTGAAAAGCAAATGAAAGGAGCAAAAAAAAAAATTTTCATCGATATTGGGATGAATAATAATGAGATTTTTTTTTTTTAAATAATATACTTCGAGAACAAAAAAGGAAGAAATAAAAACGAAAAACTGTGGAAATTTATTAGTCCGGAGAATCTTTGTTTCCGTTTCATTTCATCTTTGGAATAAACGTAAATTATCTGGTAGCTGCTGACCTCCGATCGATAGGTACAAAAAGAAAACATTTTTTTCTATCGTCTATGTGATGATATTTATTTAGTGCCAATTTCTAGATTTATTTTAACTAAAAAGAAGGTTTGAAGCAATTCCTGTCTGACAAGGTAATTAGTTAAACTTGGGCATAATCAATATTTATTTTACGAAATTCAAATAACTTCATACAACATTCTGGCGAACGTATATACTTTGAATGTTCCTTCATCGAATCAAAGAAGATTAAAAATTGTTTGTATTCGTTGCTACGGGCATTCTTGGATTTGTGTATCTTAATGCCAAATATCAAGAGGTTTAATTTGTTATTCAATTTATGTTATACATGGGTATATATATATTTGAAAATAAATGATTGACTTTTATTACGAAGCATTTAACATATTTCGACCATGCGAACGATTTTATAGAAAATGGAGACTCGTTATTAAATATATGTGGTTAAAAGGGGGAAGACGAAATTGGTTTTCTATATGGTTCTAGTGTTTTTGTTTCGAATTTTTGCATCAAATGATTTTAAAAAGGTATTTTATATTTCAAACTTGAACCATGTCATAATATTCACGAAATATGGCAACGAAATTGCTGCCGGCAATCCAGTCATTAATGCTGAAATGACAAAGTCGTTATGCTATTTAACAGATAAACGAGAGATGTAGAATATTTTTTATAATGCCACGTTTTATGACTTACGGTACCTCTAATGAGAACGTACGAATGTACGTACAAGAGTTTTCAAATATTCAGCTACCGTTTACTGAATTACTATTAGTTTCATTTCTCTTTGGCTTTTTTTCTCTGGAAACGTGAACTCAATCTCAAATACAAATCAACACTGAATGCAACCAGTGTGAAAACACAGCCATTTTATAGCAGAGCAATGAAATCAAGATGAGGTAAGTTATTCAATGAATAATAATAATAATAATATTCATAGCAACATATTTTAGTATGCATGTTTTGTCTTGATATCTCGTTCTAATGACTTTCGTTTTGCATTGAAGAGACCAATACCTCGAGGCCATATGAATTGTCTTTTTATTATTTTTTATTATAATAATGTTTGAGAAATTGCGGATTTATTTGCAGTGGAAAGAAATTTGATATTTAAGAGAAAAACAAAAAACAAAAAACAAAGTCAAATATCAAATAGACACTGGAATAAAACATTGGCATCTATGATTTCAAGCTTTATGTGTGTCATGATTGAGTTTGTCCTTATTCTCCTAATTAATTTTTTGGAATACGAACGAAAAAGAAGTTACGACAGCAAATTGGCACTTTGACACTCGAATAATAAGCCTATTCATTAGATTCATGTAAGGATGGTGCAAAGAAGTCCATTTACGTCGATGTGCTCGAAATGTATTTCGATGTTCAACAATGCTCGGTTGCTTGGTGAGCCGAATCATTAATTTAATTTGACTTACAATGTAAAGCTCTGAAAGATGCACGGCCGTCACCGAATTATATCCTTCAATTATTTTTTGAAAATTCCGAATCAATCGCTGCAACAATCAACAGTTAGTAAGCGTTGGAATTTATCGTGCCACAACTGGAAAATGTCTGTTTCTATTGGTCGAGTCGCCTCCAAAAAAATATACCGTTCATCATCAGAACACCAGACGAGTGCAAAGCCTTTTCAATGCCGAAATAAGAATGAGATGGCAAAGAAAGAATATCGAAATGGCAAAAGAAAGCTTTGCTAATCATTTCCAATTGAATTGAACAGTGGGACGGTTTAGAAGTAACCTTTTCATTAATAGCAAACTGGCCATGGTCTTGGAAATTCTTTGGAAATTTTCGGGTCTCACTATACTATTACAATTAATGTGGTGGTTTGTCACTTTTTGTTTTACATCTGCCTCTCTCCACTTTTTTGTTGATACATGGAATAACGCAACGAATTTGAACGTCATCGTTCGCTTATAATCGGCGTCCAATGAGTAATGAGTAATTGATTGCGAACACCCCATTGTATACATATATACAATACATGTGATTTTCTTTGATTTTTCTGCATCAAATATAATGCAAAGAGGATTGTATTGATACTATCACAAGTTGAGACAAGAAGAGTCATAATGTCTAGACACAAAGCTGTGAAAATATGAAATGCCACTAAGCTCAAAGGTTACATGCTTTTGTTTTTGTTGTATATAACGAACGATATTCATTCCAACCATTCGGGGCCACCATAATGACATTTACGGCAATGCTCAAAGAAAATAAATGTGCAAGAACTGTGATGATATATACAAAGGAGAATCTTAACAACGTAAATGCTGTCGAGAAGTCACCCTTGTGTACACCATATGTATACATTGTATATATACGTTTGAGATGATTTTTTTGGTACGTTTTAACAGCATTTCATCATATGCATGTTTTGATCAGAGTAAAATTGGACCAAAGACTTCGTACATAGCGTACATAATATTTTTACAAAAAAGTATAATATTGAAGAACCCGTTCGATTATACATCCATCCCATACATATTCTTTGATCTCGAATGCATTGTGAGGCACAAAGAGATGTAGTTTCGTACGCAGACAAGATCTAGTCGATGCGATGAGATTGACGCTATTTTCCTCTGTTGTTAACTTTAATTTTTTAAGTAAATATCTTCACAGATAGTCAAATACGTGATGCGTCTATAGAAGAAAGGCACAAAAAAATGGGTTAGAGTGTACATAGAGTGTACAAAAATAGTATCATGAACTTTTCACTTTGAACATAAAATAGAATAACTTTATGAAGTACTATGTTATCTGTTTAAAACGCTACATATCTGTTTGCTGCCATATTCCCTTTGTACTGTGGCTCAGGATATCGTGCATGTGACGAGTAAAAAAAAATCATCTTGCCTCAAGACGAATCACTCCGATTAAAACCGATTTTTTTTACATGTTGGCTATGCAATTTCAAGAATCTTTATGTTTAAATAGATAATAAAATGAAAATTGGAAAAACGACACAGTGATAAGAACAACAAAGGTCCAGCAACAGAGAAATATAGTACGATTGATTGAAATAAGTAATTACCAAAATTGACTATGGTTTCCATGGTTCAGTATCGTACGAATAATCGTCCCATAAAATGGGTTAACAGCGGCGACACTTTCTTCACTTTTTCATGTGTTAGGTTGTGCATCTGTTTTGCGCGTGTTTTTTTTTAAACCGAATATTTGTTTTTGTTTTTTTTTTTTCATTATTTTCTCATAGATTTCATATATTGGCGATGGATTTAAAATGATGGATGGATTTCGAAATTACTCGTCGAAAGAAATCAAACAAAAACAAAGGATTGAAAAAGAGGAAGAAACAGATAAACGCGACGAATGCAAACATGTCAAAAAAAAAAGTTGCTGAAACACATTTTCGCAGATGGTGCAACGTTGTACACATATCAGCAAGGTTCACATAGTTTAACAAAAAGAAATAGAGTGAGAGTGAGAGAGATCATGGTTGGTTCAAAAGCAAAAACGTATGGAATATGCCTTTCGCCACTATTTTTATCGCCGTCAATTTTTGTAAAAATTCCTTTTCCGTTGGTAAGTCTGCCTCAGTTCACACAGCAATCTCTGTTTTTCGCTTTCTTTTTTTGGTTTTCTTTTTCGTTCTTTCTATTTTCTCTCTCTCTCTCTCTCTCCGTTAGCACTTCTTCTAATTTCTCTCTTGAGCTACTACGACGAATATAACGTTATGCAAACAGTGAACAGTCATCGAGATTGTTTCACACCACGCTGTAAGGGCTTTTATGTGGTTCAGGCATATACACGGCGAATGTTGCATATCTCGTATGTGAAAGATCGAAAAAATAATGTTTAGCTTAATCAAATTTTCACTTTGTAAGCACAGAATCATTTTAAACTATACGACACACAGCATGTACGAAGACGGTAATACTTAAAATGAACGAAATGAATCAAAGGCCAAACCAATGAACGTTTTTGGTCGGTTTGCAATCCATGCGATATCGATGGGAACAAAGACGTTGAAAAAAAATGCAATGAAATATTTACGAAAGTTGTTTTACGGAATCGAATGAGGAGAAAAATACTAGCGCTGCATACCCACGGATCACGCATTCCAATGTTCTGCATGTATTGTACTTTTTTTTTTCTCTCGAAATTTTCGTTTGGATGTTTTGCAGTAAACTTCACAAGATATTTTGTTCGAACTACTCATGCATGCACTTGATGTGTTAACATTGTTTTGCTGTCTGACGCTTCTTGATAATTCATTTAAATTTCACTCTTATATAATGTCACTAGCACATCATGCTCATTTTCTCTCTCTCTCTCTCTCTCTCTCTCTCGTATATTTACAAAAATTAGATCGATTCCACAGCTATCCGAATACATAGCTGACATAATGGTAATACAATGGATTGGCATTTTACTATGTGCTCACAAGACTAGGTTGAACTAGAGATATGGTCGAGTGTGTCCAGAAAGAGCTAATGTTGCACTTGGTCGAGGTGAAATGAAGAAAATTATGGAAAATACCATTTAATTTTTTTATCTTGACATGACTCGAATGAGAACGACTTCATTCATACACCAAATTCAAGAAAAATCATTTTTTCAGTTGCAATTAAGCTATGCAATCCTTTAAACTTCAATTTATGTGGGTTTATGCATATTTACGAAGTATCAACCAGAGTGTCGATCACTTACCAGTACAATAAATAATTTTAAATCGATAAAAGTCTTACCTCCTTCGTCAGTCATCACGAGCACAGTTGTAGCTGGACCTGGTCCCTCTGGGTTGAATACTTGCAATGACACAAGATATTGTGTGTAGGTTTCCAGGTTATGAATTTCGTGGCTCTGGAAAAATAACAAACAAGAAATTAAATCATTGAATAAGTTATAAAAATTTATATATGTGTGAGAGTTTTTTTCTTCATTGAACTAACAACAATATTATGCAGTGTAAACTCACTCGCGATTGCACACAAACTCATTTGCGAAATTATATACGAAATGCAGAGAGAAAAAAAAGTATTTCTATTTTATAAGTTCATTTTTTCAAATGTATTCTCTTGCCGTACAATTATGAAAAGCTACGATGAGTGTTTACTTGTTTGTTTTCAATGCCGTCGACGTTCATTCTTTATTCATATTATTAGAATTTTTTTGTTGAACTTTGAAATATTCGCAACGCGTGTGATCACTCTCATTTTACTTCCGATGAAAAGAAAAACTAGATTTTTTTTAGCAATTTAATATTATGATGAAGAGTAGAAGTTGTGCAAAGGAATTTAGTCGTATCTAGTTCGCTATCAGTATGTTTGAAGTGTACTTCATGTTACGCAAACTAACTTGGCGGAAATCTCAGTTCAGTGTGGGCTACAAAAATGAAAATCAAGTTGCACGTACATCTAATGATGGGAATGTGCATCTAATCTACAATTGAATTTATGAAATATGAAACAATCCCAAAGGAGAATCTTTCGAAGTTCTGACGATTCCTTTTTCAGTTGCACCGGTGTAAAAGTGTTTGTATACAATCCACAATTTAGCGTAGAACACTTCAACTTGTTCAATACATTGCATCAACTATTCCATTCAATTCATGTTCAACACAAAAGAACGGCAACCGATGATATTCTTGTGAAAAGCATTCCCAGTCATTCTATGCTTGAAAATCCGGACTATGCTGATTCAGCGCTTTGTGGGTGAAAAAAAAAACACTGCTCTATTTATTGTGCTTACTTCCAAGTGATTTCCTTTTGCATTGCAAAAGGTGTTAGGTATACGACGAAAAAATAAAACCAGATCACATTCACACAAACAATCTTTCCGTTGGCTGACATCCGATTTGAATCTCATGTCGCATTGATCCATTTGCATTCCAGCTTGTTTATCCCATCTTTTATGTCTGTGTTTCGAGTACATGCAGTGCAACAACAAGAACAAAATCAACACAATGACTCGGTGTGTGCATTGTTCATATTCGAAGGGTCTACTTGCAAAAACGCGCACATAGATTTTGCTAAGGTGTTCCCAGTGAAAATGAGCTATTTGTACGAAAATGCATTCACCGGTTTGTTACCTTCAATACAATTAGGGTTTTATTATATTGCTAAAAGTTTTCTTTTTCAATTTACATACTAAATAGGAAAGTAACGAGTAGCGTTACAACAAGAAAAAAAAAACATACACAAAATTATACGGTGTAAAGTATAGAAGCTCGAAATATAAACACACACACACCAAGCAGCAGATTTTGTGTTTGGATACGAATGGATTGAATTTTCTCTATGTGTTTGTGCTTATTCTGTATGTATTTTCGTTAACATTGTTTGCTAGAAAAGTTTCGTCAAGCGAGATGTATATAGAAGAGAACGACCGAATGCTGTTTATTCTGATCTTATCTTTGGCAGAAATGAAAATAAAAATTATTATAAATAAAAAAAGCAGTCGACTTGACCGAAAGCACATTTTATGTAATATGAACTTCATCGTGCCGAAACAGTATTACGGTTATATTTCGATATTGCCACGGTTCCATGATTTTTTTTGAATAAAAGAAAGATACCACGAAGAAAACACATAAAAAAAAAAAACAATATGAAAACGGATTTGAAAGCTAAGCCGACAAAAATCTTGAAAGTAGCAACCGAGTGCTACATGTTTTCCTGAACTATGTGATTATTGTTTTGAATTTAGTTTTCTCAACTTCGTTTTTATGCACTTAAATGAAAAATATTATCAACCTGGTAGAATGTATATGTAACTAACTTTGAAATATCAAATACAGCAACCAAAATCGATTTCTTTTTCTTTTATCGAACGATTTGAAAAGTTATCTCTTGTTTTCTGTCAATTTTCATTCAATATTTCAAATATTATATACCACTTTATTTAACGTAAAGTCCAACGAAAACGTACATTTTCAGTAGATAAGAAGGCATGTTCATGACAGAAGATTGAATGAATGTACAACATTGTTTATGAACAAGCAAAATCAAAAAAAAAAAAAAAAAAGACTGCCAGTAAGTAAATTAAGGTACAGTGATCTTTTTTTGTGTGCGAATCCACGCCAACCGTCAGACTACACCAAACCATTTGCATAACTTAAACTTGAATAATTGCAACTTTATTTGCTCACTTAATGTCACTTGTACTATGCAGTATGCCCCGCCATAACTATGATTATAACTAAGTTAATTTTCGTTGTATTGTACTTTAAATGAACAGGGGCCGCAATCGAATGCGAATATGGATGAGAAAAATGGTAAATTCAAAGTTTTGCGTATTTCGAACGCATTGTTCGGAACAATGCCGAATGGAATGCGAATGCAAAGCAAAAATCAAGACTCCGATTTTTTTTTTTTTTTTTTTTTTTGTACTTTTCGATTCAATCTTTAAAAGAGGTGCACAGCTTTTCACATTGTCTGATTTCCATTCAAATATCTTTAATATAAATATTGATTTTTTTTATGAGCAAATATTATATGATTCATGCTATATGGAAAACCGAGTGCCCATCGCGGAAAGATGAAATGCGAGAGACACAGAGAAGTAAAACGGAATGAAACTTACATTTCGTATATAGATCGGATTTTTTTCTTTTGCATAAGACGAGAAAAAAAACGAAATATGCACGAAAATTTCGTAAAACTATTTCCACTTTTAACAAGAGAATTCAAAATTTGATATGCAAATAATAAAATTGGAATTGTGGAGCGCACATCGCACATTATTCGTTTTGATTATGCATGTATGCAATGATTGAAAGACGGAAGAGAAACGATTTTCTTATTGAGCTATCAAATTAAAATTTGATGTGATAGATTCGCTCTTGATGCTCCCAAATTGTTTTACTCATCTTATGAAGTTACGAAGAACCCAATGGGTTAACATCACACATTCAATAAAAATGACAATAAAAAAAAGGTTTCTCATATTTTTCGACTTTTGTTTTCTTTTTATTGTAAATTGAACTTATGTGCAGTAATATTTGTGATATTTTATTGTTTTAAAACTCACCTCAACGCTGCTGTCTCTTATATAGATCTCTTCGGTTGTGTCATTGTGCCTCTCACGGACGCGGTACGTTATGCGATAGCCAAGGAATTCGCCTAATATTGTATCGGCCGGCGGCGGTTTCCATGATATGTAAATCGAACTAGACGATGTATTGTGGGCGATAGTAGTTATAGGGCGTCCAATGGGAACTGTAAAATAGAAATAATAACAGATTTTAGATCAAATAAAAAATTACGTTAATTCGAATACATTGTGTAGGCGTACATTATCCATTAATCTTCTACAGTGGCGTGGACGATTTGAAATGAGTATTCAGAAAGCAAGCAAAACAAATTCAAAGAGTGATTTCTTCTAACATTGTCTTAACTTCGTTCACTCAAATGTATTTATTTAGTCAAAGTTTTTTTGAGTATTCTAAGGTAATAATAACAATGGAAGAAGAAGAATCTAAAATCAACAACATGTCTCCCCTTGCAGTCAGGCAAAAAGCTTGCATGGCCGAGTACAATTAATACACTAATGAAGGTTTTGTTTATTATTTTTTCTCGCAAAATCTTTTAACGATTTAACTTAAGCGTATTTGATTGTCACTAAAATTCTCCTGATCGGAATTGAAAGAAACTAATTTGAAATTATTTGAGATATTCCCTTTCTTGAATTTTGAATCTGGATATTAAAGAAAGCTTTTTTGTCAATGAAACCAATTGAAATAAATTGACAAAATACCCAATTCAAAACTGTAAAAAAAGTGAAGGACCAAGTTCACATGATTAAAAATTTCGATTGATTTGCATTTGTTTCGATTAACTTCCCGTCGGCCAACATTCGAGGTAAAAAGAATCTACTGAGTGGTAATTTGATGTGCTATTGCAAAACCAAAATATGAAAAGTTTCTTTTTGTAATTATGTCGGTTGGAATGCACGTCCTCACATTCGTCTAATTTAATCTTGCCATGCATCATGTATTCATTTATGCAGCACACAATTTGTCGATAGCATTGTACGTTTATACTGAAGCGCAGTTTTTTTCGGGAATCATTGTGGCTCTTGGCTGTAAACGGCAATAAATCACATCACGTTCGCTCTTATATATCTTTTAATATTCAGTTTTATGTGTTTTTCATTCGATTTATGATTTATTTCAAATATATCCACAGTTTTATAGCTGTAAGTATGGCTTTAACTCCGGGTGTAGATAAGTGTCTCTTTTCATTTTTTTTAATATATGGACAGATGTATGCACTGTGTAATGCAACGCAGGCACATCGCTTCTCAAGCTACACTAGCTGAAATTTTTTCGGGAAATGCTGGTGTGATGCCATGCATTATAATATAAGAAATACCGTTTTTTTGCTCAGTTGGCGCAGCGTGCTTTTTTCATATTTAACGTTTTTTTTTCTTCTTCTTCTTTAAAACTTGCAGTTGGAATTTTGTTATTGGTAGCTTTGTGTGTGAATATAATACCGAACCTCCCGCCTCCAACTTACACCCGTGATCTGGGTAAAATGCAGACTGCACATAGTTTTGTAATACACACAATAGATAATAGAAAAATCATGCGTGAATGCTGAGCTCCACTTTTACTTAAACGAAACTGAAGAAATTAGTTATTTGTTTATCTGTAAGAGTGTTTTCAAGCACACGTGTGCTGCATTTCAATAATAAATTTTTTTAAATTAAAATTTATTCTGCTCATTTTATTGGAAAATTCCAACTCGCGTAGATTGGATACCCATTTTTTCTATTTTCGTTTTGAAAATGTGTAATTGGTTCAAGTTTCGACGAGGTTTTATTGATGATTGCTGAGAGTGATGCTGATCCATTTTTGAAACCATCACAGTGCAGTATATCCTGTATAGTGTAAAATATGGATTGACATGAAATGCAAATACAAGCGATTTTGGCTTATATGGAACATCCACAGGTACAAGTGTACATCCTTGTATATGGCACTGCAAATAGTGGTATCGAAGAAGAAGAAAATTCTGCATGAAAACATTACCACCGTTACCTAATACCAATAAGCAATTGAATGGAAGTGAGCGCGCGTGTATATGAATACATATGTAGTTGACTATGTGCCAAATGCGCGTTCTAGCGCCAAAATGCATTACGGTGTTGGTGCAATAGCACAGCTAAAAGAAGCATATTATTTTTAAATTTTCGGATTATAACAAATGAGAACTAAATGTAATGCAGCACACGTTTACAGGTATAGTCAATTCAATAGATGGAAATACAGAGCTCAAGCCCGGGCGTCAGTAATAGCTCCAAAGTTGATGGCTGCGAATCGAATGTAGAAAAAATGTAATGTGTTTTTTTTTTACACCTTAATGGTACCGACTTATTCGTGCACATTTTTACGCGGGATTTTTTGGCATTGACTGATTTTTTTTTTCTTTTTGTAATTGTTCGCAAAATTTTGCCACTAGTTTCCCGTGTTCTATTTTTAAAAAAAAGTTCTCTTTTTGCAAACTGTTTCGCCAAATTCATCGTGGTCTTTTTGCTTAAAATAAAAGGAATGTTTTATGACTATAATACTTTTATTTCGTGTTTTTTTTGTAACTTGAAACTTAGCTACCACCTTCTGTACTCAAAATGGGTCAAACACACAGCAACCAATCCAAATCGTATGGCATTTCTTTCAAAATTATCGCATTGTAATAGGCGAAAATACAATTGTAATGTCTGTATTTGGGTGCTGTGTGAAGTTGGGTAATTTATTAACCTTACGATAGATATATTTGAACCTTTGCGCGCATACTATTTGGCCATTGCTTTTGATATGAAATCGTATGGTACATTAGCGTTATTCTCGTTTTGTTAGCCAAAATTGTTATAATTTAGTGAAAGGTGCATATATTCAATTCGTCTCGTTAACACCGCTCAAAGTTTGTGGACGCCCAGCTGTGAGTGGAATGAATTTTCACTTCGTAGCCACATGAAGGATGTACGTGTGACTTGGGTGTGGAAATGTAAGTTCGCTTGATTCCTGCTTTATGTCTCTCTATGTGTGTTTTTTTGCTTCCGATTCTCTTCTTTATCCGCACTTTCAAATGCACATATTTAACATAGTGCTGCTAAAATGTGTTCGTTCGTTTATTCGCCAAAAATGTTTATGATTCAACCGAATGCGAATATCTTGGCGAGATGAAGAATAACGTGATCAATTTTAAATATTTCTCATCGAATAAAGCACGGCTCATTTAAACGAATATGAAATGGTTGCATTATTCTTAAGCGCATTATGTTAAAGCGTATATTCACCACTGCGTGTACCATTTTGCGTGTTGCGAATACTTTGAATTACATAAATTGTATGTACTGTACATATAATTTTAATAAAATCGATTGCAGTAATAAATCGATTTCACACTCCTGTTTCTTCTGCTCATCCGCTTCATTAAGCGACTTTATCATTCAATTCGTTTAATAGCATAACTACCAGCACACCATACTCGGAGTTACAAAGCTGCGACAGACACCAGTTCTGTTAACATTTTCGGTATTCTTCATTAATGTAATCATTTTCATTGCTAATTGCATGTTGACTTTACCGTCTAAAATCAAATATATCTATTTTCTTGAGTTTTCGCAATACGCTATGGTCTGACCATTCTCCGTTATCATGTATTTTAAGAACAATAACCATAGTATTTCGAATGTTGATCCAATGAAAACGAATAGCATCTACACTAAAAAAAACTCTTTTACTCCTCTCAGATACTATTGTTTTTATTTCCTTCTGGAATGCACTAATCATGTTATGTACTTCATTCAATTTGTGATATTGAGCACAACGAATTGCTGACTGATTTTTTTGTTATTCACGCATTATGTTACAAGCATTGCATAGAACTTGAAATTGCACATTTGATAAATTGATATGTCATTTTTATATCCACACAATGTATACCATGCATCGATTGCAATCGATTTCAGTAATTGTTCTATTCTATTTTGCAGACAAAAAAAAAATGTTGCTAGCTAGATTTGATTGCTGCGTCTAAATGGATCTTGATAATCATTTTTTCTTTCATGAGATTGATTCATTTAGGTAACCGATGTTATCAAGTACATGTTAAACTTTCAGTTTAATTGCAGCTGTGCTCGTTTATTATAAAAAATGAAAGGCAAAACTTTTTTTTTCTCCATTTTCCGTCTGCAGCTATATCGCGTGACAAAAATGTTAAGTCGTCGTTCAAATTTAAGAGAGACAAAGAGGTGGAGGCAGAGGAGAGAGTGGGAGAATTTAAACGCACACATTCAAAAGTAAACTTTGGAACATAAGGATGAGAGTTGCAATGAATGGAGCATGGATGGAGATTTTTTTTAACGAAAATGGCAAATATTTGGATTGTTTTTTTTTTATTTTAATTTTCGCTACTTTTAGTTCAAACATTTGAAATCATTTTGTTTCACAATTTAATGCGTAGACGGTAGTTGGTCCGAAGGAGAAAATGTACAAAATGGAGGTAAAAGTCACAAAAATTCCCATTATTCGATAAAATATTATTATTATGATTATTGTGATTTCAGTTTCAACGGTTCTTTTTTCTTCTTCATCATCTTTTCGTTAGCATTTGTATTAACGTATAATTCCAAATGACTATTCCTTGTGCTTCTGTGTCACAAGCGAGATGATGTCTTTTTTTCGTTCCTAATTTGAATAGCATTTGTTTTACGGAAAAGGAAATATAAATTAAGTTAAGCTCGACAAGGGTGTGAGATTGTCGCTCTTCTTTAGTCGCCTTTTATTCATTTTTCATTAGCTTTGTATGCACGCACACACCAACACTTTTGAATGGTTGAATTTGAATCATAGTACAAAAATTAATGAGCGGATCGTGGCCTCCGTCTACGCTGTCGTTGGTTCAAATCCATTTTACAGCGAGATTTAAAATTTCTCTCTCATTTTTTTGGCATTTTATTCATTTTTATTACTTTTGCTTTCGTGCGTGAACCACACGACTTAGGTTGGGAATCATCATCATAACTTGGCATCCGACTTTACAGTCATTTATTTTCCTCGTTAAATCAAATGATTCTAATTTTGATCGAATTGAAAACTATGAAAATTTATTTTAGTCAAGATTTTTGCTCTTCGGAATAACTTAACTGTATACAGTTTACATCTTTTGCTGAGATTCAAATTAATTTATGGTAAAATTTCACGTAGAAAATTGGA